GGAGAGTAGAAAGAAGAGAAAGGAGAGGAGGCGCAGGAGGAAAGGAAGAAGAGGAGGAAGTACACTTTCAAACTCATTTAAAGAGCCATCATTACGGTGATACCAAAGTCAAAGCAGGAACGTTACAAGAAATTACAAAGTGCTGAAAGAAAAAACTGAACACTAGTCACAATTACTAAAAACAGTATTAAGAATAGAAATAGACAAATGGATCCATAAAACAGAATTCAAATGCATACCACCCAAGCACATATTGGAAGTTCACATACGTGTAAGGTTTTGCAAATCAAAGGGGGAAAGGTAAACTAGTTACTATATGGTATGGGGAAATTAACTCACCATATGGAAAAAAATAAAATTAAACTTCTATTTCCCACGATTCACAAAAATAAACTCTAGGTGAATTAACTACCTAATGTAAAATGTAAATGTTCAAAAACTATTAGAAGGAAATACAGGAGGATATCTCTGACTTTACAATATGGGGAGATTTAAGACATAAAACGCACAAATCATGAAAAGTAATAGAGACAGAGTTTGTGTATATCCTCGTCTCTCTCTTACACACACTCACACACACACAGTGTTATTAAGGAGCACACAGGATTCTCTACTCACTCAAAATCCAGGACTCAGTATTGGAACAGCAAGTCCTATAACCATAAATACCTTCACTCTTCTAACTCACACCCACCAGGTCCCAATGAAACACTTTCCTTGACTATGCCTCTGAAAGAAGGGACTGCACTTAATTATAGTATTCTGTTTACTTGGTATATGATAGAAATTTTCCATAATAAAAGCAAGTTTAAATATTTCAGGGAGGGAGGGGAGGCTAAAACAATGCAGAGAAGGTTGTAGGTTGTGCTGATACTGACATTTTAGTCTCTACTTCAGAATGAAGCTACAATTTTAGCAATCTAAGTGCTCTCAGGTAAGAGAAAAGACAGTAATTAACTGTCAAATCTTTCCTCTGGCAGAACTTACTGTTGATTCTTGCATAAGGAAGAACTGATTCTTAATAATGCCAAATGTCCATTTTCTTGCTTCTCTTTGTATTCTAACTTTTGGCCCTGGAAGCACTAGCAACTTTATGCACAGTATCTGCAACAGCTGCACATAGTGACTGAGGAACATTTGTATGAAAATTTGTATTATTCTTTAATTTGTATCTATGTAAATCTAGACATAACTGCATGAACATGATATGGACTCTTTAAAATGGCAGTTAGATGGCAAGCAAACACTGGAATGGTGAATAACTTTATCTAAAAATAGTAAGATTTATTTATTCAAAATTAAATATTTTTTGTTAAAACCATTTTTATTAACAGTCATTAATAATTTGTATTATATCTTAAATTTAAAAGAATTTTAATATTTCAGAGAATTTAAAAATACTTTTTATACTTATTTCATGTTTTTGATAAAAATGTACTCAAATCAGTACATTTTGAATAATTATATTGTTTTAATCCTTAAATCATACTGTTACTAGAACTCAAAATAAGTAAAATTCTTGATTATAACATATTTACTTATTCTGTTAAAATGAAAAAAATACAGTATACTAATTTATTACTTATATAGGTCATTACTTTATTACTTATCTAAAATTCACCAGTCCATCATCAAATATCCATAATAAATGCATTCAGTTATCTTTGATATTTTCCCAACACTCAAAGTCATAAAAATAGCTTTACATTTATTTTTCTATTTTGTTGCAATGATGGTATATGTGTGAGGTTGAAGGCTAGAACATTTTATTTCACAATTTTAAAACTTCGTTAAAAAGTTTAAATACTTAAAATATACTGTAGGGGCCTCCATTTGTATATTCTTTGCGTAGGGCCAGCAACTATTGGGACAGGTCCTCAGAGCTGAAACAACCTGAAGTTAAATGTAACTTACAAAGTACTCTAAGAATATAGCACAGAAAAATTACTTATGGCTAAGAGACACGAAAAGCTAACAAGTCAGTTTAGTTTCTAAGTCTACTTTTAAGCAAGAAGTCAGATGAAGAAAAATAAAATTAATTAGTATCTAGAGAAGAAGATTTTTAAAAGGAAACTAAACAATCCAGTCACCCCTCCCCTCCTCCCTCGGAAGGCTGAATTCAATGGAGCCAAAAATGTAGTGCTATCCATTCAACAAGTCAAACATTCCCCGAGTGAAAGGGAAGACTCACTCCAGGAGGAAACAAATGACAGGCTTCCGTTTTCACCATCAGGAGTACACAATGTAAAATATCCTCACGAAATACTACATCACGACACAAGGAACAGAATGGCCCAGGAAACCGAGAAAGAATAAAAATGTTTCAAGAAGAGCCTGGGGTTTTGGGTCGACCAAGCAAGCTCTGCGCCCTGGTCTGCTTACAGGCCAACCAGGGAACCAGCCACAAGATGAACGTGTATAGCAGGCAGAAAAGGGTTAAGGTTTTAAAAACCCCAAACAACTTGACAAACAGGGGAGGCACATATTTTTCCCCAGAAGCTGGATGAATGCAAGCAGCACTAGATCAATACAAGGTCCTCTCTACCACCGTCACAGATACCTAACACTTCCAAACGTAAATAAGACGCTAACCAAGGAGGGGGAGATGCCATCTTCTATAACGACTAAAATGTTAACACCGCTTTTAAATAAAACACATGTCATGCCGTCCCCCCC